TATGCAAAGAAACTAAAGTGTAACATCTATACACAGTATTCTACTAAATGTCATTTAATGTTTCTTTGGTGTATCTGAAAATGCACTAAACTATTATCTGTAGTTTTCTTATGGGAGAGTTTGCTGTAGCATATCTATTCATATTATCTCCAAGTCTGACGTTTTAAAGAATAAGAATGGTCTGCCTAGCAATATAAAGCGACTGTTGTTGTAATTTGGCGCTTCATGAATAAAACTGAATTGAATCTGACCTTTGTTTTAATCTCTTTTTGCTTTACCAGTTCTATGCAGACACATAGTATGCGCCAGCATAACTAGTATATCTGTGAAGGTTCTCAGTCATCCAGGTCGTCGTAGTCTTTGGAGCTCCTTAAACCATAACTAGTACATTTATTAAGAATGAGTATTTTTAGGAATGAAAGCTGCGTCCTTCAACAGTCACATGTAATTCTCAGTATTTTTTCATAATGCTGTGGGTTCATGTCAGCACTTTGTGTTTGCACATTTGTTAAACAGTAGGAAATTACCCAATCCTAAATGTATTAGTACACACAGTCATTGTTTATATAAAATCCAATATCTTAACACTGGCTAACATCATCACAATTGCGTAGTACTGAGCCCTTTTAAAAACAAAGTTTGAGCTTCATGATTTACATTATTTGTCGCAAATTAAAACTGCAGCGCTTTTTTTTGACGTGGCTATTTGAAGTAGCAACACTGAATCCAAAAATAGTTCTTTAACAGTCAATCTTCAAGCAAAGGCACCGCCTTCTCTTTCCTCTTCTCCATCTGACATGTTTCTGTTGGTGCTGAGCACGATGGTAGGAAATGCTCAGGTGCTGGCCATCAGCTATACGCTATTTTCACGAGGCATTGTGGGATACTTTGATGGCATCATGAAGAGAAATCTGTCTTAAAATGGTTACGAATGCGTACAATATGATCCACAAGCATAAACTAAGACTTACAAATGTGTGCAGTGATTTGTGTGTAACTTTTGTGGACTCACTAATGCGCAAGACACAAATATGAAGCACGTGAAACTATTTTACAAACGTGTGTAAACCAAATCTGAATAAATACTGATTACTTTTCCACAACTTATTACGTTCAGCTCCTGTGTGGTCACATTGCTTTGTGTCTGTATGTGGAGCCACATTTGTGAGTCTGCACAAGTCCCACAGAAATCGCTGATTTGTAAATCTTAGTTCACGCTTGTGGATCATATCACAACTTCATAACACTTTCAAAGGTAACTTCCCTCCGTACTCCAAACAACAAATGAGAAATTTACTGTACAGTCCAATATCCAGCAAGTAGTGAATGATTTTAGCCATAGCCCTAATTTTGATTTGAGTATTGCAGAACAACAGAAGTCCAAAATATTAAGATCATCATTTTGAGAACAGGAGTCCAAATTTCCACTGGCGTGACTTAAACAGTGATATATGGTGAATGGAGCTTTCTACCTCACTGCAAAATACATAGCTACAAGATTTATGAGCCTCTGTCATCTCTGAGGAAAAATAGGAAACAAAGCAAGCTTTAAGTAAAAATCTTAAATTGTTGAAAGCTGCCATTAAAATGTTGTTGAAAATGTTGTAACTCTAAGACAATATTACTGAAAACGTTTCAGTACACTTTGCTCTTTGTCATGCGGCAAAAGTCACGCTGTGTTTTATACGCAGCAACAATGTATAAAAGGAAATGCAAGTCTAGTTTGATTCTTCCTTTAAATTCAGAATTGTGCCTTCAGCAGTGCATCATCTTTATGATGTTATGATATAAAATCAGGCCTCTGTAAAAACCACCGCTTCTCGACAACTCAACGTTTGGCCAATACTACAAATTTATCCTTCCTAGATTCTGAGCAGAAGCTGGTCCAGTTGATGCTCCGGTTTTTCAGCTATTTAACGACTAATGACCAACAGGACCAGACATTTCTCAAACACACTGCTGATATTTCAAATATTGGCTGCTGACCTGCTGACAATCAGGTTAGTTATATGATAAGAGCTACTGGCTTTTCTAAAAGAGTTAAAAAAATCTAATAGTTTGCCATTATATATTACAGCTGCAATGCACCTTCTTCTTCCTACTTTACAATGTCAATAGCACAGTGGCAAGGAATAAACAAACTATATTAAAAAGTGACGCCAAAAACTCCTCCGTGTTCTCTCGAGTTTAACCCGTGCAAACACTTGATGTAATTCCAAATGTCCACAACTATAGTTTCAATGAAATTCAGGGTTCTTTTCCTATTTTGACTTTTGCATCTTGCTGGAATCGGACGGCTGGTAACAGTAAGCCGTTAAAATGACTACCTCCTATTTCTAACTATATACAAGTAGCTCAGTCTCTGGGAAATTTTCTATATGATACACTCCGGTTGTCCTTTGAGGTGCCAGTTTTATAAATATAAATAACCTATCCAATAAACCAGATTGAAAAGGCCAAAAGCAGTAGGAAAGAATATTCGTGAATAAGAATCGATCTTGGAAACTCGCACGTGCATCCTGTTTTCACGCCAGGCACCTGAACGGCAGTCGTCAAAGCAGCAGAAGAAGCTGGCACAGTCTTTTCCATCTAAACACTCATAAGCGTAATCATCCTCCCCGTGATAGGGTACAATGTTATTCATCTGCAACAGCGACGGGCCGGGCCGGATATTCACCATGCTTGATGCTTTCTGCTGTAGAGGGAACACACACAGTCGTTTCCCCGTGTTAGTACTCGATGCTGTGGCTCTTTAATGAAGAAGGGATCAAATAAAAATCTGGTACCTGTGTGTTGCTGGCTTTAGACTTCTTTGTCTGCCTGTTGCTGGTGAAATAGTGCAGAGTGCCATACTCCATCAGAGCAGCAAAGGTGAAGATGAAGCAGACAGAGACAAAAAGGTCCATGGCGGTGATGTAGGAAACCTTTGGCAGGGACTTCCTGGAGATGGTACTGAGAGTCGTCATGGTAAGCACTGTGGTGATGCCTAAAAGGATTGAGACGAATTTAGTGGTAGAATATCAGTCCTACAAATATTCATAAACACATAAACACAAGGTGGTTTCAATGTTGGACTTGGTTTTAGCTTGACTTGAATAGAAGAATAGCAGTAGTATAAGCAGCAGCACCTCGTAAGACTTAAAGACATAAAGGAAACTTCTAGGTTGCAGAACAGACAAGTAATATTTTTAATGTGTATGGCAGCATCAGCCTTTACTTGGACATTGTTTCCTAACTTTGTCCAAAGTAAAACATAACAAATATTCATTTATTTGGTTAAATTACTTTTCGTTAGTCATCTAAATTATGACAGGATAAAGAAAAGGAAAAATAAAAACACATATATGTTATTCACCTAATTTATATGTAATAGCTGAGTGTTCAGTCACTATTGTGTCCTTTTACTATATCACTGTGAATGCTCCTGCTCACGAGCACATGGCACACATGATAAGAGACAGGGGAAGTGAAATAATATGAACTGGGTTCACCACAATGCTTCCAAAGTTTCTAAAGAATTAGCATAGCAAGAGTGGAAGCATACAAGTGGTTTGTATGGTTTCAGTGGTTCCATCATGCATTCAATGACCGCAGGTCTTCCCAGCCTTAAAAAAGTAAATCTGCATAATTACCAAACTGGCACCAGTGACTAACACGTGACTAACACGTGACTAACACGTGACTAACACGTGACTAACACGTGACTAACACGTGACTAACACGGGCCATGAGGTCAGTTTCATGATCCTTAATATACAAATTCCCATAACCATTGATCAGTCTTTCCACATAAACGGCCTCCTTGTCTCCCTGCTCAGACCAGCAGGATGTGAAAGAGTCCAGTAAAAATACAAAATAGTACTTTTACTGGAGTATATTTTTACACTAGTACTTCTACTTAAGTACAGCATATGTGTACTTCTGCCATCTTCACCTGTTAATTCAATTCAATTTTATTTATATAGCTCCAAATCACAACAGCAGTCGCCTCAAGGCGCTCTATAGATCAGTTTTTAAGTTTTGACTCTCATCGTCCACTGGAATATACATTGGGTGGGCGAACACCATCCCCATAGACGCAGTGAGCACAGAAGAAGGCATCATATCAAAAAGACCCAGAGGATAGAGTGTATGCTGTAACCGAACGACCTCTGGCTATGACACGACACAGAGCACGACCTCGTATGGCCGGGTCTATCAGTGATGAGGATGTGCTGGACAGGGACGCTGGTATGAGCAGTGATGAAACACTTACTCCGCTGAAAAAGCAACGCAGTAAACAACTTTCAATTTAAGACTGGCTGACTGTGAAAAATAAGGTTACGTTTATTTATTGGGCAGAGAGTATGCAATCTTCCTTTTATAGTCCTGCATACCTTAAACCAGTAACACCATCACAGGGAGAATACTTAACCCTCAACTTTCAGATATCACAGACCATAATGTGTGCTGTATAATTTATAGTAAGAATGTTCAGAAGCTGATTGCAGCTCATTATATGGAAATATTTCAAAGATTAAAGGATATTACAGTAATTTACAGACACATTTGATTTTATCTGTGCCTGAATTAAATGATCAAACCTAGAGATGTTCGTGCTGGGACGGCGTCCTTGTTGATCCAGAAGGAGACCCAGGATAAAACCACAATCATGCTGCAGGGGATGTAGGTCTGGATGGTGAAGTAACCCATTCTCCGACTCAGGTCAAAAAAGATTGTCATGATGACATATTCCCCTGAAAGTTTAATAAATGAAGGGCAAAAGCAAATTCACGTGACAATGTTGACTCTCTGCTTTCGCAAAACAACGACAGCTTGTAGCATAAGACTAAAGTCAACATTGATACTATGATAGTGAACTTGGTTACAGTCTCTAACCTGATTGCGTGTGTGCGACATCAGAGGTGTTCCTCAACCCCACAAAGGCAAACTGGTAGAGTCTCCAGTACCGCTGGTCCGCCACCTCTACTGCTCGTCTCTGCCACCGATACATGATCTCGTTTTTAGGATAACCATCTACAGCCCAAACATAAGCATAACTGTAAATAACTATGTTTTTGACAAGAAGCTCCACCTGAGGTGTGTATTAAAAAAAAGGAAAATTCTTTATACATTCATCTGACTTCTATAATGTTTACATGTTCGAAGGTTTAAATGATTCAAAATGCACATTTAAGGATGTCGTTCTAATACTTCTAAGGTTATGGGTTACATGTTAACAAAGCTTAAGAAAGACCTATGTTTAGGAAATACAATGGCTCCGATTAAGATAAAAGCAAATATCAACTTTTATTTGCATTGACATGCTCAGACTTCATTAACAAGATAAACAAAAAAGTATGAAAAGCTGTTTTTACACCAAATGTCTGTAATGCGTTTGTCCTTCTTCTAGCATGGAAGAAGCGAAACTACAAAGAAGATTGAGACAATAAGAGATGAGCAGCCAAAGCACAATGCAAGTGACAAATGAAGGATGAAACGGACAACGTGACAGCACAGAAAAAAGTGCATAATTCATTAAGTCTGTCCAAGACATGGGACTGTGTGGCTTCCTCTCTCTCCTGGTGAAGTAGATGATAGATTGGCACAAGCTTAAAGTAGCCAGCCTCAAGCAGATGGGGCAGTGGGCAAGGAGAGGGCGAATAAAGGCTTAGTCGGTATGATTTTCTGATAAATTACAGAAACTGCAGTTGAGATGACAGACTCAGCAATGAGAGGGGAATATGTTTGACCACCTACAGCTTGAAAACTCCAGTGGACACGAGTGCTCATCCATTGGAAAGTTATGCAGCTTAAGGTAACACTCCGCATTTATAGTCAACCTGACAGAAACAGAATTATGTCAGAAAAAAAAAAAAAAATGTCGGAATTGTTTTTCCCTGCCTAATAGTATTAAAGTCACCGTATGTCTTGTCTTTATTTAAGCATAAATACATAAAAAACTATCAGACTTTGACAAATTGGATTCACTTAAAAGCGAACTACATGACAAAAAGCAGATGTACACACTAAAGCTGCACAAATGACAAATACTTTCAAAGACGTTAGCAAACTGGCTACAAAACTGTCCTACCTTAATGTGTACATGACTCTCCCATTGCTCCACAACCTAAGGAGGCGGTTGGGAGTAGTGATCCAGTGGGCATTTGATTTTCGGGAATTCCGGAAGAATGTGTCAGGAATCCATATTTTGCCTACCATGTTACTGTTGAGCATGAGCAGCTTCATTGAGCTATTGAACTTCAGGCGGCTGTCATACCATGTCTGGGCAAAGAAGATGTCAATTGTGTATTCCTGCAACAGATGTTGGGAATCATGCAAACAAACCAGAACAATTTTTAAACAGTTACTAGAAGAATTTGCTTTTGCCACCTCTATAATGTGTTGCATATTTGACTCAGATGTTCTCTTATCACTTCTCTTTTTTCACTGAGATGTTATAAAAATGACAAAAGTTTGTTCAAATGCCTTTGAATGACTTTGATGACACGTTGACCATAGAGAGTGAAATCAAATGATCAACATTCATTAAATAAGTGTTAAAACTGCTAAATAATTAAATCAATTACAACCTTAAATATTGAGATTTCCCCTTAATAAATTGTTGGCACTGTGAACCACGTTTCACTTTATTTAAACAGAGTTTTCAACAAGGAGGACTCTTCCTCAGTGGGTTGAAGTTGAAAGCCATGGAAAAATACTGTTAGGGGACTTCTTTGAAAGAGCATTCAAACTGTAGCATGAATACAAGTTGTCCAGATACTGTTCAGGTTTGTAAAGACATTCAGTAACCCTGGATAAAGAATCTAGAGATATGTTGAGAGGCAGGCTTACCATGTTGATAGGGTCCACTGGTCCAATGCTGTTGACATACACAGCTGTTTCAATCACTGTGGGCCTCACTGAAACACAACAGAGAGATATACTGCACATCACTGATTTGGAGGTGGGGGTGAAGTTATGTTTACTGAAAGCGTGGTCAGAATTGCAGAAATGATGGAAAATTATTTGACCTTTTCTAAGATGTGTCTTAATTTAACTCTAAACAGCAACTCTCGTGTTTGCATAAGATGGAAGATCAAAGATTCAATTCAATTTTATTTATATAGCACCAAATCACAACAACAGTGGCCTCGAGGCGCTTTATATTGTATAGAATAATACAATAATACTATTATTCCAAAATTGCCCTGAAGATCAACTCTGCACAACCTGACAGTGGAAGAGAGAAGCCAGAGGGGAGCTGATACTCACGACAGCACACAAGTTCATATGCAGAGCGACACTATTTGGCGAACTATATTCTTCACAGACTTTACTTATGTAACAGTAATGAGGTGACTCGTTACTCTTACTGAACTTTTAATTAAAAAATAAAGAAGAAATTATTATTATTAAATCTGAATTCATAAGAGTCTATCTAAATACTTGTGGAAGCATGCAGTGCAGACTTAATCACTCTATAATTGTCATGGTCCTGGGTCTTGGATCCAGTGTTTCTGGACATGACTGCTTATTAAGAATATTCTATGTGATTCTGAGGTTCATGGCCTTCGGTTCTTAGTAATCTTAGAGTTCTTCCTCAGTCCTGTGTTTAGTCAGCCTTGTCTTCATGTTGTTTATCTCCTGTCTCCGTGTTTGATGTTCCCTTTCTGTCTTCTCAGTCAGTCATGTCTGTCTTTTCCCCCGGCTCTCACTGTCCTGCCTGTGTCTTAGTCTTTGTTTATCGTACTTCCTGTTTTATTTTGACAGTCTCTTGTCCTGTGTACACTGTATCCTGTTTTCTTCCCCCTGTCCTGTTGGTCTGTATCAACCCCAGCTCTGTTTCCACCTGTTGCCTCCTCTCATTATCCTGTGTGTATTTAAGTCCTCAGTCTCCTTCTGCTCGTTGTCATGTCGCCCTGTTTGTCGTGTGTTCCCATGTCTCCTGTGAACGCTGTATTTCCCCTCATAACCTCTGAGCCTCCTAGTTCTCTGTCACTAGTTCTCTAGTTTTTTGGTTGTTTCTGTTAGTCTTTTTGGATTTTTGTTTGTAGTATGGTGTTAGAGCAAATAAAGTTGCCTTCTTTAGTTACTCCCTTTGTTTCTAAGTGCATTTGGGTCCAAGCTCTGCCTGCCACACAGTGTCACATGACTTAATGTTGTAATATCTTTATCATACAATGAAAAGTCCCTTAAGATAACTATAATTGTGAATTTAGGTCAGCTAAATTGAAGTGATGTACCTCCAATGTCAGGCCGTAGTTTGTTGTCATAACCTTGCAGCAGTTTATTAAGGATCAGCGTTACATCGCTCTCATAGACCTTTGGTGATAACACCCAGGTCTTATTTATAGGTACATCTTCATAGTCCTCTTCGTCCTGTTTACTGGGTCCAATAGCTGAACTGTGGAGGAGAAAACATTGTAAAAATCAAACACACACACACACATATACTACCAGCAAAACATTTGGACACACCTTCTCCTTTATTGGTTGGTTCCTTATTTTTACCACTTTCTACATTGTAGGTACACACTGAGGACATTAAATATATGACACAAGATATAAGGAATGATGCAGCAAAGAAAAATGGATAAAAATGTCTTATATTTCAGATTCCTGTAAGCAGCCGCCCTTTGCTTTGTTGACAGCACTGCCAACCCTCAGCCTCTCAGTGAGCTTCATGATGTCGTCACCTGAGATGGTTTCACCTCACAGGTGTGCCTGTCAGGGTTTGTTTGTGGAAGGCTCTGCCTCCCATTCTACTTTTAACCCTAAGAAGCACTGCACAAGTCTGCAGTCTGGCAGCAAAATGCTCAATTGGGCTGTACTATCAGGTCTTCAAGATAAGATGGGGCCTGATTATTCAGTACCTTGTATGTGAGGAGCAGGATTTTAAATTTTATTCTGGATTTAATGTAGTATATTATAGGGGTATGGGAGAAATCTGCTCTCTTTCTAGTCCCTGTCAGGACTCTTGCTGCAGCATTTTGGATCAGCTGAAGGCTTTTCAGGGAGTTTTTAGGACTTCCTGATAATAATGAATTACAGTCGTCCAGCCTGGAAGTAATAAATCCATGAATAAATCCCCAGCAAACGGTATGGGGACTGTAATTAATTTTAGATCACTTTAATAGTTAATTGCATACTGAGCACTCAGAATAAAATAAGTACAAAAGTTGTTGAGAGTTGTTTGTGCAGACTTAGTGGAAGGCCAAGTGTAGGAACTTAGTACGTAGCCTGAAGCTGATGACTCGTGAGCTGGAGAGGAAATGGCGTGTCATAAATTTAGAGGATCATCATTTAGCCTGGAGAAATAGTTTTGCTGCTTTATAAGAAAGCCCTCCGCAAAGCCCGAACGTCTTACTATTCATCACTGATTGAAGACAATAAGAACATCATAATCATAACTGTAAGCTGTTGGAGTGGGGGGCTCAATATAACACAGTAGAGAAAAAAAACTGGGTATTCAGTGGTCGGGGTCCTCCACTGTTACCTCCTGGTTACCCACACTTCACTCCAGTGGCCACACCACATGAAAGCTGCACCCAGATCATTCAGTGGTCTCTCTGAAGTACTCTTTCTGCAGTGATTTGGATTAACTGAAGGCTTTTAAAGTAGCCTGGAAATAATAACTGCATGAACTAGCTTTTCAGTATCACTCAGAGACAGAACGCTTCTCTTTTTGCAATATTAAGCAGATAAAAGGACAGGGGTGCAACGCAGTTGTTTATTGAGCAAAATCCCTCACAGGTTAGAGTAACGTTATAGAAACACTATTACAATTTTAGAGTAAAGCACAATTCCTGAGCTTCCACAGAACTGTTACACATATGTTTTGTTTGTTTCGCTATTTTCTCTGTTGCTTTTCGATCTTCAGTGCTCCCAGTTTGGGTGAGCCTGGGTCCACTAGAGTCTTCAATGATTCACACTCCAATGGATGCATCAAAGAGCAACTTGGGGTTTGTATCTTGTCCAAGGATATTTGGCATGCAGACTGGAGCAGACAGGGATTGATCCACCAACCTTCCGATTAGTAGGTGACCTGTTCTAATACCTGAGCAACAGCCACAAATATCCAGAATAAACAAATATCCAGGACGTCTGTCATCTCTGCTAAAATATTGCTAAAGTTGGACCTATCTCATTCAGGCTGCTGGGAAACATGACCATGCATTTGTTAACTCTAGGCTGGAATTCACAGAATCCCGACTATGGTTTCTTACAGACTGCTCCTTTTAAAAGACTTTTATTAGCAGGCTTTTCTAAAAGTTCCCTGAAAGTTCCCATTGTTGCAATTTCTGACCTTTTTCTTTCAAATAGGCTTTATAACACACGCTCACATCCACTCTCTTTATCACTCACAAACACACATGCACCCACACACCAACACACACACACAGTGAAAATATATATTTGCTTGTGTACCTTCCTGTTTTGTCTTTCAGGTGTCGTGTATTGCTTGTGAGTGCTTTGTTACAGATCCAGATTGTCTGTTTGCTTCCTCCTGGATTTTCCCCCATCACCATTCTTTTCTCTCTTTCCTCTCTCCACTTTTTTCTCTTATCTTTTGCCAATCTGTTCTAGACCCACTGCCTGCTCCAGCATAATATCCACACAGACAATAATATGGATAATAACACAACCAAAACATTACCAAGAGGAGCCTACAGAGAGTCTACGTTGGCCCTGTTGGGAAATATGTTTGGCACAACAAAGCATTTAGACCATTAATCTGCTTGCTACAACTGCTGGACAGGACAGGTTAAAAAAAAGTTCCCTGAAAAGACTTCAGCTGATCCAAAACGAGTGAGAGTGGGATAGATATCCTTTTTTTAATACTCTGTGTTAAATCCAGAATTGTTTGTAACACGATTCTTCTCATATACAAAGTCCTGAATAATCAGGCCATATCACGTCTTAAAGACCTGTTAGTATTGCGTGCTAACAGTAAAGCATTTTGTTCTTAGACTTCAGGCTTATTTTTGGTTTGGTGAGTTTCCAAAAGTGGAATGTGAGGCAGAGCCTTCAGCTATCAGGCTCCTGTGGAATAAGCTCCGAGCTAGGATTTACCGGACACGCCCTCTCTACTTTTAAGAGAAGGCTTAAAACCTTCCTTTTAATAATACTTTTAACTATACTTATGGACCAAGCCTCACTTTTGTAGCTAAAGGCTTTAGGATGCTGGAGGACTTCCAATGATGCATTGAGCAGTTATTCAGTTCTCCACTCCCCTCTTTTGGCGTCTGCATTAATTTTAATCTTCTGTCTCTCTATGCTCTCGTTTCTTCTTTTCTCCTTCCTACCAAACCCCAACTAGTCACAGTAGATGGATGCGGCTCCTTGAACCTGGGTCTGCTGCACATCAACTGATGAGTCTCTCTCAAATATTTGTTTTTACCTTACAAAGTCCTTAAAGTGACTGTTTCAGAGAACTGGTGCCAGGGTTGTGTTAATAAAGCCGAAGTTGATTCAGAGAGTCATGACATAATTTACACCTTGGTGACAGAAGTCCTGAGTATAAGAAGACTTTTGCGTCAGTCCAAGAACTAAATAATCAGCTATGTGTTCAGAAGAGCCCCAGGATATTCTACTGATGTAACAAGACAGATAAAGCCTTATTACCTTCTCAGTAAAAAACCTGTATGGAGGTCAAATAAAAATCTATTAGACGCGACCGAGAAACGCGCTGAAATGAAAGTCAAACTGTTTTGCTGACAAATAAGGATTATTTGCGCTGTGGTCTCCTCCAACACCACAGCTCAAATAGCATCCTGCTATAAAACCACCACAAGAAAAACGCAGCGGATTATGTCGAGGACAGAGCGCAGAGGCGGCGACATCTGCAGCCATTATCTCAATTCGTTTGTCGGTGTTAACTCGATCGAGACATTGCTGCTCATTTGCATCAACACACACTTACCAGACACCCAGAAACACGTAGAGCAGCCAGTGATACATGTCTTTGTCTTGCGCTTCTCTGAAAGCAGGAGTTTTATCCTCTCCTCTGGAGCGAAGCACGCAGCGCTGTCCACGCCAAAAATGGAAATCGCGGAATTTCGTCAGGTCGCGTATAAATCCTACCGATGATGCTCAGTGTAGCGAAGGAACAATGTGAGATGGGTCCATGATAAGTGTGGAGGGGGAGGAGGCTGCTGCCAAAGAGCTGACTCTGCTGTAGTTCATCTGCAGTGGTAGCAACAGTGTTCTGATAGATGCTGCGCTGATAGCCCAGCGGTGTCACGGAATCATCCGTCCTTTTGTATCAAATGATCTAAAACTTAACCGTTTTACCACAATGCCTCAAAGGACAGGTTTTGTTTTATTGTATTACACTACAAGTCACAATCAAGGCTTCAGTGCATGTTATTCTATACACTCGAAGCCTTTATCTGCCCACACACTCGTTCACAGACAGATGCATCCAATGCATAATGAGCTTTAGTGTCTAGATCAAGGACATTTGGATGTGCGTGTAAAAACAGGGATCGAGCCATCACATGACTGGGTGACCTCCTCTGAACATCAGTCTTTCTGAAAGGAAGAAAACAGAGGTCATCGTGAAGATGTAGCCTGGTGCAGCGCAGTGCTGCTGTGCAATCAATCCATAATGTGCACGATCTGCTGTGCACAGCCTGTCCACCTGTCCGCTGGGAACAACCACAGGCCGTCAACCTTTGCTTGAACAGTTGATGAACTGATTCAGTGCTGTGTTGTTCATGAATGGAGTTTTAAGAAGGAAGGCAGTTGCATTAATTCCACTCTATACTCTTCAGGATTTCTCCGTTTGTCAGCAGGTCCTTGAAATATATATGCACTGTAAGAAGTCATCTATAGAATTTACCCAATAAATCCGAGATAACAATTTGCATTGACTTTTTGGAGTAGATTTAATTCAATATATTGTGTATAAAATACCTTCAATAAGCTATGAAATAATTAAATTGGGTCAAATTTACCCCATATTTACGTATCTATTCAACAGCTACTTACTCATTGGAATTAGGTAAAATTATCTCTTGTTTGCTAATTGGTAATACCTGATAATAACTAATAAAATTAAATTATTATTAGTTGATAAACATTCATATAAGGTAAAATGTCCCCCCCCCCAAAAAAAAGACAGATGGTTCATCATCTCAATGTTTTTATTCCATAAAAACACAGAATAAAGTGCAACACAAGCAAGATTTCAAGTAATGAACCTGTTTTATAACTTCTAAACTAACAACTTTAAGGTGTGCTGCTTATGAAATCCATGAAGTGCTACAGAGAAAGTTACATTTTATTTAAGTAATTAACACATTTTGAACTCTTAAAGAAATATAACAAAAGGAAAGACACCCAGCTGAACTAAAACTGTTGTGAGCCGCCACCCTTATATCGCCTTTGAGCTTTTGGAGCCTTGACCTGACTTTTAAAAAATAACTGGGAAAAAAAGCTCTATGCTGCTAAAAAAAAAGAAAGAAAAATAAATATTTACAAAATAAGGAGCGGTAGTTACACTGGCAGTAGCACAGGAACAGAGCGGGAGGGAGAGAGAGAGAGAAAGAGAGCACAAACAGACACAACTGAAAGGTACAAATGTGCATGACACTGATTCAAACGTGGTGCAGATGTGATCTGGCTGTAGGCTGTGGCACTTGGCCAGAGGTGGCGCTGGTTGACTCGACTCCATGTTAGTGCACAAAGTAAACAGCTCGCTTTAGTTGTGAAGCAAAAACGCTGAAACCAGAGAAATAAACCGTGCGAGGGGAACGATGACGACGACAAGAGTCTCCCGATCGTTTACTCTTGCTGTCCTGTGAACAACATCGGCGTGGTGTTACTTGTTTGCTGTTTTCGCGATCGCGTCACGCGTGAGGATATCACCAGGTGAACTCGCCACATTTTTAAACATTTTGTTGTTCAACAGCATCAAGACTGACAGAGTGTGTTTGAGACAACCTCACAAGTGTCACAGATGACACATTTGCCGTTTTTTGCTGGTTTGTCGGTAGCAGCTCCTGAAACGCAAGTCTGCCACACATCTGTTCGACCAACGCCAGTTGATCTAAACGCCAGTAGATCTGGAACACCGGATTTGGTGTGTGGGAGTAATAGATAAATGAATGTATTTTTTAATTATTTGAACATATATGAGTGCTTGTGTATAAATACACAAACAATACACATATGCTTTCATGCTTTCAATTGTGTAATTTAAGTGATCTAGTAGCTCTGTTTTGGAAGTTTAGTTCATGCTAGAAATGTATTTTGGAGTTTGTACGTGTTTTGTCTCTAGGAGCCACCGCATATATTTATGTATAAACATATTTAAATAAAATCACTTTTTTTACATTAGTAATTCCTTTAGTGCATAATTTTATATTATTGTTAATAATAAATTAATTAAAGCAACAAAACAACCTGAAGAGCCGGTTTGGGTCCTCAATGTTTGTAGGAGTTGATTTTGGCTCCGTACTGACAACTTCGGTTCTGATGACTGAGATAGGTTCTCTTTTAGCGTGTTTTTCGTAAAGTTTATTCGTCTTTGAAAGGGCAGGAGGCGGCGGCACAGACTGCCTAAAGCTGGGGTCATTGCGCATTTTTGCTTCTCTACTGATGAAGGCCACAAATGCAGAGAATGGTGGAAATGACACACGATGGTCCTCTTTGTATTTAGAACCACAGTTCATCCATTTTTCTTGCATAGCATAGGGGAGTTTTTCCACCACTGGATTAATGCCTCTCGCTGTATCGAGGTAGAGTAGACCTGGAATGTAACTTTCACTCTTTGCAGCATCTATCTCTAGGAGCAGGTCCTGTAGTTCTCTCAACAGTTGTGGATCTTTGTATGAGATTTTGGGGAAACAGTCCAATCTGTCGAGCGGTGCGTTCTCTATAGCTTCGGGGGAGCCGTAGCACTCATTGGGATTCATGTTTGGCAAAGCAAAACTCACACCGCAGCAAGAAATAACAATCCCCAGGCTCGAGCTATGTGCAGCTGTTCTTGCTGTCGAGATTGCTGACATTATCACAGAGGAAATTGATGTTCCCTTCCATTCTACAAGATTTTTCACAGACAGCAGAGTGGTACTTGGATACATACAGAATGAATCCAGACGATTCTACGTCTACGTATGCAATCGCGTACAGAGGATTCGAAAATCGTCCAACCCAGAGCAGTGGAACTATGTTCCAACAGAGCTTAACCCGGCCGACATAGCTTCAAGATCAATCCCAGCTAGTGCACTCTCATCAAGCACATGGCTCAAAGGACCAGATTACCTACTGAGAGCAACTCCTGAAGTGACTAAACATACCTTTGAACTAGTCAATCCTGACAACAGCAACATCACTTTCAACTAATGTCGCGGCTTCTTTCCTCGAAACGAGACGATTTGCGTCTTTCTCTACGTGAGGGTCACTGTTGAGAGCAATAGAAAGGCTCATTCATATTGCAAGGTGTTACAGGAACAGCACTCCCCCAAAAAAGTGTCATGGCTGGCATATCTGCAAAAGTCTTAGTCCAGAAGATTACAGTAAGGCAAAGAGCGTTGTTCTCAGTGGTCTTCAACACGAGGTTTACCCTGACATCTTCACATGTCTTCAAGCCCAAAAAGACATTCCAAAACAGAGCCCTCTCAGAAAACTCTCTCCTTTCAAAGACAATGCAGACTGTCTCAGGGTTGGTGGTCGCCTTTCACAAGCCAGCATGGAAAGCGACGAAGCACACCCCATTATCATTCCAGGCAACCATTATTTAACTACTCTACTAATCCGACACTACCACCAACAGGTGCAGCACCAGGGGCGCCATTTCACAGAGGGAGCCATGAGATCGGCTGGTTTCTGGATTGTAGGTGGGAAACGGAGCATCAGCTCAGTCATCCACCACTGTGTAATTTGCCGCGAGCTCAGGTGGAACACAGAAATGCAAAAAATGTCAGACTTACCCATCGATTGTGTGACAGTCTGCCCCCCGTTTACTTACTTCGGAGTTGACGTCTTTGGACCGTGGACAATAAGCTCTTGGAGAACAAGAGGAGACCTTGCTAGCAGCAAACGCTGGGCCGTCATCTTCACCTGCTTGGGCATCAGGGCCATTCATGTTGAGGTCATCGAGACGATGGAGTCGTCTAGTTTTATCAATGCTCTGAGACGATTCATCTCTATCCGAGGACCAGTAAAGGTCCGACTGTGGGACCAACTTTCTGGCA